GTGTGTGTGTGTGTGCGTTTGTGTGTGTGTGCGTTTGTGTGTGCGTGTTTGTGTGTGTGGGGGGGTGTATTTGCTATGCATGCATGTGTGTAGATATATATATATATATAATGCGCATAAGCATACGTATACAGCATACATACATTTGCATATAAGTCGCTGTAAACCTTTTATCGGGAGCATGGTCTTGTTTGCCCCACAGAAACGAAATTATTTTCTTTCCACCTTTTTTATGTAGCAACGCATTGTGTTGCAAGAAAATGTGCCTTTCTGTGCCACAAAATTACCTCGATCAATCGTAATAATACAGCGGTCACAGCCAGGCCAGTGTGTGGTTGTGTGTGTGTGTGTGTGTGTGTGTGTGTGTGTGTGTGTGTGTGTGTGTGTGTGTGTGTGTGTGTGTGTTTATCTGAGTGTGTGTGTGTGTGTGTGTGTGTGTGTGTGTGTGTGTGTGTGTGTGTTTATCTGAGTGTGTGTTTGTGTGTGTTTATCTGAGTGTGTGTGTGTGTGTGTGTTTATCTGAGTGTGCGTGTGTGTGTGTGTGTGTTTATCTGAGTGTGTGTGTGTGTGTGTGTGTGTGTGTATGTGTGTGTGTGTGTTTATCTGAGTGTGTGTGTGTGTGTGTGTGTGTGTGTATGTGTGTGTGTGTGTGTATGTGTATGTGTGTGTGTGTGTATGTGTTTGTGTGTAGTTTTAGCACTAGTAGTAGTAATAGTAGTAGCAGTCATATTAGCAATAGTGACAAACATTTTAATATCTGGACTATTCTTGTTTATAAGGTTTATAAATATGACTGTTACTGCATGGACTATCACTAATAATTTGCGAGATATCTATTGTATTGCATTTTTCCTTTTTTTCACCGTATCGTTTTCATTAAATCTATGACAGCCATAAATCAATAAGGCCAATTGCCACGTTTCAATGTACACAGAAAACCATTCATACATGTCTTTTTTTTCATTACATAACCAATTCAAACTCCAGCGTCATCATTAGCATCATACTGATTGCAAGTACCAAACGACCTTTCATATTCATCACGAACGCAAATAATCATCTTTTCTGAAACGTTTTCTCGTTACAATAAAAGGACTAATGATATTTCGAGTTGGGATATCATACAAGACTTCAAATGCACCGGGGCTTTGAACCTTACGTAATCGTTCAGAGTAATTCAGCACATTTCATGAAAATATGAAATATAGGCAAAACCTGTGAAGAGATTTTCCTTTGAAGTTTGTGTTCGTTTTGACTTCAAGGAAATAAACAGAATTAGGAACTACATGACAAGGAAAGAAAAATTTATTATAGGTACGTGTTTGTAAATAAAATATAAATTGTATATACAAAATATGTGTGCAATACCGGCGGGACGTGTGATCTCCCCCCCCCCCCCCCCCTCTCTCTCTCTCTCTCTCTCTCTCTCTCTCTCTCTCTCTCTCTCTCTCTCTCTCTCTCTCTCTCTCTCTCTCTCTCTCTCATCCTTCTCCTCCTCCTCCTCCTCCTCCTCCGCCTCCTCCTCTCCTCCTCTCCTCTTCCTCCCCCTCCTCCTCCTCCTCCTCCTTTCTCTCTTCCTCCTCCTCCTCCTCCTCCTCCTCCTCCTCCTCCTCCTTCCTCCTCCTCCTCCTCCTCCTGCTCCTCCTCCTCCTCCTCCTTATCCTCCTCCTTATCCTCCTCCTCCTCCTCCTCCTCCTTCTTCTCGCTCCCTTCACCTTCTCCTCACTCTCGTCCATTCACCACCTTATTGACACAAGGGACCAGGGAAGTGTAGCATTATAACGACTCAACTTAAAGAAAGAGGATGCCATTACTAATATCGTCCTCTGGCTTGAGGATTAACAAGGGAAGAGGGGAAGGATGTGATAAACCAAGGAGATGAAAAGCTCGATAATAGCTAAGTAGGGCGGATCTTGTGAAAGGAAATAGTATGTTCATAATTCACTTAAAAAGAGGGAATATACAATGGAGTTTATCAGACCGAATATTGTGATAATGTTATATAATGAAAATGATGATCATAAGTTCTTGGCAAAGCTATAACAAAATAGCAGGGAACGAAAACAATACCGTTGATTATGACGATGATAGAAAATAACAATACTCATGATGAACTATTTAATCTTTATATCAATACTGACTGGATTACATACTAAAAAAAAATTCTACAGATTATAAGATTATGAATAACCAAATTTACTTCGTTTCCCTACCATTAACTCAAAAATGTATTTCCGTCCTGCATATAATTTCTTTGCCTGTTTACTCTAACTACATGCCGTTTATATTTACATTCACATTACATAAGATAAACAAAAACAAACACGAATATATTTACATAAAGTACATATCTATACTTTCCACAAATAAGAAGGTCCATAAAACAGTAATAAACGAAATTCAAAAGAGTCCGAAATGAATATAGAAGTTAATGGCTGCCGGCCTTGAGAACCATAAAACGAAATGTAAAAAGCGTCTTTGTAGATCACTAAGATCAGACGTATCCTGAAGCGACTCGTGAGTGTGTGCTTGGAATATAATACAAAATTTCAAAGGTCCAGTCAAATTACCGTAGCCTTTGAAGATGTAAGAATAAAGAACCCGAAGAGAGAGAGAAAGAGATGGAAGGAGGGAGAGAGAGATGAACGGGCAGAAAGATAGACAGATATGTATATATAGAGAGAGAGATGGAGAGAGAAGATGGAGATAGAAAGATGCAGAGAGAGAGAGAAAGAGAGAGAGAGAGAGAGAGAGAGAGAGAGAGAGAGAGAGAGAGAGAGAGAGAGAGAGAGAGAGAGAGAGAGAGGGGGGGGGGAGGGAGAGGAGGAGGGAGGGAGAGAGAGAGAGAGAGAGAGAGAGAGAGAGAGAGAGGAGAGGAGAGAGAGAGAGAGAGAGAGAGAGAGAGAGAGAGAGAGAGAGAGAGAGAGGGAGGGAAGGAGGGAGGGAGAGAGAGAGAGAGAGAGAAAGGAGGAGGAGGGGAGATATTAAGAGAGAGTGGATGAGAAAGAGAGAGAGAGAGAAGGGGAGGGGGGGGGAGTGATAGAGAGAAAGATAATGGGGCCACTGAAAAGTGGACCACGATGGATGAAGGAAGTAAAGTGAGAGACAAAGAAAAAGATAAAAGAATGAAAATGAAGAAAGAGGGAGAGAAAGAAAACGCTAATTTGTCATTGACATCAGGAAATTAGGAGATGCAGAGAGGCAAGAACGAAAAAGACGAGAAGAGAAAGACAGAAAAAGAGGAGTGCATTTAGAAAAGCCAAAAGATCATGAGACTTCCTTCCCCTGTGGCTTAAGAAAGTCTCGCGAGAGGCTTTTTTTCTCTCCTTTTGTTTTAAGGGACGGGGAAGAAAATTATTATCATTATATTTTTTCTTCCAGCCCTTTGTGTATGCACGCTGCTGTCTAGTTTCTTTTGACACACGAGCATAAAAATACTGTGGGTGGGTGGGGTGGTGGGCGGTCGGAAGGAGAGGGAGAGCAAATAATAGTTCCTTATCTACCGTTCTGCCTGTTCTTGGATGGAGGTTTGCGTAGGGAGCCGAGAAGGGAAGCGGAGTCAGAGGTTGATTTTCCCTTTCTCGTACGGTCTCGCAGGACATCCGTTACATATCGCGTCTGGATCTTATAACACGCATACGTACACGGGTGCGCACGCTCACACACATCATACACATACACAAACACGCACGCACACACACACACACACACACACACACACACACACACACACACACACACACACACACACACACACACACACACACACACAGAGGATATAGTCTAACCGTAATGTAAAAGGAAAGAGTACCAAAACAAATTAAAAGAACGACGCAAGTAAATAAGATATAGACTTTGAGCCCTATGAATTTTATGGATTTAGAAGCTTGCCATAACCCTAAACGTCAGCTAAGGCCACGACGTTTTCCCTCTCAAGTGCACCGCTCCTCTTAATGTTTATGCCTAAGGTAGAACCGGACGCCTCTCACTCGCGATCGATCTACATTCTGACGCCGCTTATCTATCCATTTTTCCCTTTAAATGTACATATATGTATATATATATATATATATATATATATATATATATATATATATATATATATATATATATATATATATATATGTATATATATATGTATATATATATATATATATATATATATATATATATATATATATATATATATATATATATATATATATATATATATATATATATATATATATATGCATATATGTATACATACATATATATATATATATATATATATATATATATATATATATATATATATATATATATATATATATATATATATATTATATATATCGTGGTCCCGGGTTCAATTCCCCGTCGCGGCAGTCATAAAAGTGCCTGTGCTCTGACTGCTAGCTTGAGTCTGAGAAAACGACACATCGGCTTGAGAAGTCAAACGCAGGTGTCGTAGGGGAAATCACCGCTGTGGCATAAGTGTTAACGCGCCGAACCGCGGTTGATTAGGAAGGGCATTCAATCAGGCAAGGGTGACACTGCCATATAACCTTTCAATAGTGAATTGAGAGAGGCCTATGTCCTGCAGTGGAATAAATGGTTGTTGAAAAAAAAGAGAAAAAAAGAATATATATATATATATATATATATATATATATATATATATATATATATATATATATATATATATATATATATATGTATATATATGTGTGTGTGTGTGTGTGTGTGTATATGTGTGTATGTGTGTGTGTGTGTGTGTGTGTGTGTGTGTGTGTGTGTGTGTGTGTGTGTGTGTGTGTGTGTGTGTGTGTATGTATATATATATATATATATATATATATATATATATATATATATATATATATATATATATATATATATATATATATTTATATATATTTATATATATATATATATATATATATATATATATATATATATATATATATATATATTTATATTTATATAGCTATTTTTTCTTACACCATGACACAATTTTAAAGTTGCATCTGGCAGTGCAGGGAAGCTGAACTCACGAGGAAAACCAACATGTGTATATCACCTGACGCGCGTACCTGCAGCATACAAAGTACGGCGGACGACCCTGACCATTCTGCCACCTCTTATTCGAAAACTTTATTCCCAAGGGAGCGATAAAGTGACTTCACACACTCGCGTGATCCCTGAAGGAAACCCATATGTCTTGGTGTTTCGTCTTCGTCATTTTTTCTTTACCTGAGCTCATTTTTCTCTCTTTCTTTCCTTCTTTCATTTACCTTTATTACTGTTTATTTCTTATTTTTGTATCCTTTTTAGCTACTTACTTATTTTTATTATCATTATTATTATTTTTTTTTACATTAAGACAGAAATGTGTCCTTTGTTTACAAGTTCGTTAACCTAAAGGAAAATTGCATTACCTGATTTTTTTTTCAGAATGTAAGAGGGGAGCGACTTGATG